AAGACCCTATCCTCACTCCCCGCACCATCTCCCAGAACCTCCACGCAATCCACCAGTATATCCCAGACAGATGTGTTTCAGCTCAAAACAATAATATTATACATTCTCACCGCACAAAACCACAACCAGCGAATTTCCATACAACATCTTAGACACGTCACCACGATCACTAACGGTAGTAGAATTCAGCACTCCTTTCATTGCCAGAGACGTGGTACTCTGTGCCCATAAAACTTGATACTAACAGCTAGCCAAATATCTGAAGAACCACGATGTAAAGGCTGCCATGTCCTGTATCACACCTCCTGCTATGTATATTCCGCGGCAACTCGTTCATGACGCAACACATCTAGTATCTCACCGCTCGTTGCCAAGTGTGCTGTTATGGTAATGCAAGCGGGATGCTGTAGCTGAATCTCGCGCGTAGAACTGATTGTAAAGTGACAGTGCGTCTGTGATGCGGTGCTCGATGTGTAATGTATGTGGGTGCGGTGTTCGCTGCGGTATGGGGGTTTGGAATATACTGTGTATACGGTGATGTGTGTTTTTTCTTAGCTTGGGGGCTCACGCTGGCGGCGGTGGCGTGGTGTTGAAGCTTCCTGCGTGCTTCATAGGCCTGCTGTGTTTTTTTTCTTTGCTGTGATGGAGTGGCGGTGTTCAGCTACGGAGGTTTTTGTAGGGCTGTGGGAGTGGGGAGAGGAAGGGGTGTGTACGTGCGATGCGGGAGCTTGCTTCTGGGTTGCGTTGGGGCGGTGTTGGAGGGGATTTTGGGGGATTTGCGGTCGTGTGTTGGGTTGGTTTTTCGAGGTTGGTCGTTGTTTGAGGTGCGAGAGGAGTAGTGTTTCGTTACTACGGTCTTGGGCTCTCTCTCTGCGTGTGTATGTGTGGTATGCCTCTTTGTAATGGGACAATTTGCTCATGTTCCGCATGTCATGTGTGTACAAATCATATTACGTTCAAATTGCGGCCTTTGCGTGCTTTCCGAGCTGTCCTGCAGATGGGGGCCTGCGTGTGGTAGGGACTCGGTCGCGAATGCGAGGATGATGGCAATTCTTGCATTTGCGCTGCCGTCGGCGCAGTTTCTGGTCGCGGTGTATAGGTAGCTGTGGCATGATCTGTGTGAGGTTTACGATGTACGCAGAAATGCCCGGTCAGACGAACTATTGGCACCTATCCCATGGGCAGCTCAGCTCTGCCTGTTTGATGCCATGGCCCCGTGTATGTATTCCTCTCCACGTCCCATTGCTGGCTGACTGATTGTTTGAGCCCCGTGTTTCGTCGAGGCCATGAATTTACGCAATGAGAGCTTGGTGTTGAGTGTATTGGCCTCGAAGGTGCAGCAATTGGCGTTTGCAAAGCCGTAGTATCCAGACTCTCTGCATAGGCAGTTTCCTGTGCCTTTGCTGCCCACTGTTGATTCATGTTGATCCCAGGCTCTGTGGCAATGACACTGGGGTAAAGCGCTGAGACGAAGCCATGTGTACAAGAATAAGACAATCGTAGTATTCGCAGTAGACGGCAGAAATGATGCGTACGGTATCCACGGTAACCACCTCGCCCTTGATGCTACTTGAGAATTTGCGTTTGAGCTCTGCGAGCTCTACGTGCCTACTGCGGTGTCGTGACGATCACTGTAGAGTCTCTACGCTGGCGCTCTTCTGTAGAGGCTCAAAGAGGATCATCGTAGGGCATTTGTTGCATTCTCACAGCTCTCTTCGCCGCTCTGAGCAAGCTCACTTCTGAGAGAATGCCAGTGCCATGTGGTTTCCGCTTCCCTCTGGCTCTACACAGTGATTTTGCGTTCTGTGGGCTCAGCCTGCAGTGGCATTCCGCATTCACAGACGATCTCTCGCCACCGAAGAGCTCAGTCCCAATGTCTACTATGCCATTGCCTTTTCTTTTGCTGCATCCAACCTCACTCTTGTGCTGAAACGCAAGCTCAGGACGATTCGTGTGCTTCTGAGACTCTCTGCATTGCGATCCTGCGTTCTTCCGGCAGTGTCAATCCTGCCTCTTTGCTCACACAAATCTTCACAAAGCTGCTTCTTTATGCGTCATAAACGTCTTCTTCTTCAGTTCTAGCACTCAGACTCGCTCTCAGTCTCTTTTTGTTCAACAGGGGCTCATGAGGGGCGACAGACTTTGAAGCTCTGCACCTGCCACCGCCATCACAGCTGGGGGAGTTGCTCCTTCCCCCCCCCGCCCCCTTCTTACGAGGCAGGCACGAGGCTCCATAGAGACAGCTTCAGCTTCCTCTTCTCCTTGTCTTGCAGCATTCAAGGAAGACATACACACATGGAGAGCAGCCTCACGAAGCCATGCAAACACATCAATGCAGGGCTCCATCCAGCCGCTGGCTCCATGGCCCCCCGTGAATCTGCCCTCCTCACCATCTCATCCTCTCA